CGAGAAACAGCAACAATACAAAAGAGATACCATAATTAATGATTGGATACATTTCGCACGCTAAGATCTTACTCAACTTAACAAGGTCCTCATCAAGACAACAGCGACATCTTCTCCAAGTACCAGAAGCATGGAATACAAATTGAGTTATGATAGTAATCTTTTTTCTCTATCCTGCGCTCGTTGCAAAACGAATGATATCTTTCTTTATTCAAGGACCCAGCTAAACATTTACCATACCTTTCATTGTTGATCTCAGAGGTGTGTGTCACATATGAAGCCAGCAATGGCCTGGTTGACTACAAAAATTTCTAAAGTGTAGCTCTCCCAGCCCTCGCTGTACTGGTGCTCACGTGAAATTGAAAGGTCTGCGGTTGGAAGATATCTTTCTTTAGTGGATATCTCTTTTCCACCTCCAGTCTAGAGAAATAAATTTTGGCAATAATGTACAAATGTTCCCATTACCTTTCTATAAATTCCATTATAGGGACCTATCGCTTAGCGCTTAACGAAGACTTTGTTATTTGCATCTGGCCTTAATTACTTTACTGGCAAAGTTTAATGATATATTACAAAAAATATGCACTGCTCGCAGTTAGCAAAGTCTAGTCGAGGCGGGCAGTGTTTAATACGTATATTATCGTCTCATGAAGAGGACACCTTTTGTTGTTGCGAGAGTGCCTCCCGAAAGAAAGTTTTAGTATATATAATAAACATACAGCAATTTGTTACTTCCGCAACATTGGTTCTCAAGAGGAAGAGCCTAGATATGTGCTATTTCCGTTAGTAGTTTACGGAGCGGCACGAAGGTTCTGGTCGCCTGTACATGTATGTTAACGGTAATCTTGTTTTAGTTTCCTTAATTTTTTCAAGTTTGGTACAATACTGAATGGAAAATGAGGCCATTAATGTGTGGAAAACAATCGCACCGGCGCGAATTGGACTATGGAACCAGAGGGAAGTTTGTGCTGAAATTGTTCACGTAAAAACTAATGCTGATTGTCTTCCCCTATTTTCCTTGTCCTGGGCATCGAAGACTGCTACTTTTTATCCTTGAATGGTCAAGAATCATGTTTGAGAATTGTCACGTGGGTGGCCTAGCTAACATGACCTCCCCCAAAGCTTGAAAAACACTTAAACCTCGTGGAATCGCTGTTTCATTTCACTCTTTTTTTTTGGGTCGGCTTGCTTGTGCTGGCCTTGCAACATGCTCATGACCTTGATACACGCTCACGTAATAAGCGCATAAGTGCATTCGCTCGCGCACAAAGCTTATCTTAGTGTCTCGTGAGGTCCACATATGCATTAATTTATTAGATTCGCCGACGGGCGGGGACACCGCAACAGCTTGCGCCAATTACTGCGGGCTCAATAAATCCACCCATCCCACCCCAGGTGAGGACATCCATCATACAGTAATCTCGTGTGTGGGAAATTAACGGTAGGAAATTCTTCTCAATTGTTTTAAGACCTGGAGTGTTGGTCCGGCCGGGGCTCGAACCCTCGACCTCCCGCACAACAGTCCAGCGCACTATGCATTGGGCTAACTTGAACAATTCTGAGTTCAGTATGTGAACAACGTTTCTGCTGTTGTAGGACTCCAAAACGGCTCTTCCCTTAAACAACGTGCATCAAATAACATGCATTTAGGTGTGCTTTATTATCAGCTAAGTCACTTGACTTGATCAATAACTTTACCAATTACAACTTTTTGCTAGCACAATTAGAGTTAAGATTAAAGACAGATGGCAAAAGTTCTCTGAGCCTCGGTTTCTAAAAGACTGATTCAGCGGGTAGGTCCCTTTACTTTTTCCCAAACCGGAACCTCGGGATTCTCGGTCGCGGGATTCTTGGAAACCTCGGTCGCGGGATTCTGGGAAATCTCGGTCGCGGGATTCTTGGAAATCTCGGTCGCGGGATTCTTGGAAATCTCGGTCGCGGGATTCTTGGAAATCTCGGTCGCGGGATTCTTGGAAATCTCGGTCGCGGGATTCTTGGAAATCTCGGTCGCGGGATTCTTGGAAATCTCGGTCGCGGGATTCTTGGAAATCTCGGTCGCGGGATTCTTGGAAATCTCGGTCGCGGGATTCTTGGAAATCTCGGTCGCGGNTCCTCTTCGTCTTCATCATTGTCAACTTCATCTTCATCTTCATCATTGTCAACTTCATTTTTGTAATCGCTCAGTTCATCTTCAAATCCTTCATCAGCATTGGTGTCGACTGCATCCTTCACAGCGCCCAAATCGTCAGATTGATCGGCTTCATAGGCAGCTGTTTCTAGGGGTTCATAGGATACAACAGCCTGCAAAGATACAGCCAGGCAGAATGCCACGAGGGCGGAAAGAACAAACTTGTTCATTCCGGTCCTTTTCTTGCTTGGGCCTCCAACAACTTAGCAGCTCCTTTGTAGAAGCAGTGCTACTCTGATGATTTTGTCATTGGAGAGGGACATTTATACTCGCGAAAACCTGGGAAAACGTTTGTAGAACTTCAAATATTGTTCCTGCAATAGATTATATTGGCCTTCTTGGTCAACACAAACGTCGCGTTCTATGTGCTCTTCAAGAAGGCTTTAAGTATTTCCGTACTCGCCAAGTGTAAAATGACTGACATAAAGTTTTTGGCAAATGCGTTATTTTAAGATTTATTTTTGTATCATTCGTAATCTTTTGTATTTTCTTTTAATCTATAAAATCAGGGGAATATATTCTCTTGATAAATTTTATGTATTTATTTAAGCTACAAAAATGAAAATTTGCATCGCTGTTTTGTTGCCAATTTTTGGTTACTATTTTTTCTTTTACGCGAGCTTTTTCTTTTGTATTTCGAGTGTAGTGGACAATTGAGCCTTTCATTACGTAACTGAAGGGTGAGGTTAGCAACGAAACCAAAATTGGCTATACTGGAAAACATGCTTTTGTTGCTGTTGTTCCTGATGTTAGAAGGCTTTGATTAGTACGTAATTGTAGTGAGGTTACACCCAAGGTTGACGCACAAACATTGAAAATATTTCCTTTAGTACTTAATTATTTTGCTTTTAGATGGATGAGCTAAGCATTGTTTTATTTATATTGTTTCATACACTGAATTTGCACTTTGTCTTTGTTCCTTTTTTTTATGTTGGGACTCTTCGATTGACATGGATAAGTTGATGATGTCACTTGTAAAGTCATGGCACGACAAGTATACTTGACATTAATTCACCAATATTACGCTTTATTTTCCTATTTTTTAAAATTAATATATTTTAAATCAGTTAATTTTTTTAGGCTATTGTTAGATTTTTGTGGACCTGATTGCGCACAATATTAATAAGGAACTCCGATCCCAATCAATCAATAGAAACTGCACATCAAAATATCTAAAATCAAGGTTCCTTTAAACACATGAAAAGTGATTCTGCACGGCCAGGGAGCTGGTAACCAACACAGTGTAGCTCTGTTGCTTTCATCTTAGATCTTACTTTGAGGAGTGGAGAAGTAAATGCCCCGCAAAAGGACAGTTACAGAAGGAGGAACGGATCAGACTAAATGCCATGAGTCAGAATGATGTGTAAGGACTTTAGCTCAACACGTAACTGGGCGAGGGAATGAGGTGCACTCACTGGTGAACTTTTGATAACTATTGCGCTGCAGAGTTATTTCTCACGGAATTATTTAAGTTTCCTTGAGCACATTTGATAACTATTGCGCTGCAGAGTTATTTCTCACGGAATTATTTAAGTTTCCTTGAGCACATTTGATAACTATTGCGCAGCAGAGTTATTTCTCACGGGATTATTTAAGTTTCCTTGTGGAGGAAATGATTGGTCGTAACTCTAGTGATATCGTGAATAAAGGTTAATGTCACGAAATGGTACAGGAAGTTTTGCTCCTGCCTTATGTTAGCTTGGCATTTAAATTGCTTTAGGTGCCTAAGTTTCCTTTTATTTAAATTAGATAATCAAGAAGGAAACGAACACAACTGAAGAGTTATTTG